TCTAAGAGGCAAGCTATTGACAAGGACCCCTTGCCAAAACGAAGGGGAAAGTAGATGGCTACTGTCATTACGTGCTTTGATGACTTGCTCGACGACGACGTATTGTGCCACCTGTGGAAGAATGACCCAAAGCCACCGGAGGCTATGTGGGAACCTTGTGGAAATATGAAGAATTCACGTTGGACATGCTGGATGGGAGAATGGTTCCAGCAGCAAAGTATTCACGTTGGACATGCTGGAAGAAAGCCACTCGGAGGCTTCATTTGGTCATCAAGATTATCAAGAAGCAGCTGTTGTAACCTCTCATAACTTCACAGAGGTTGAAGAAAGTACAATGGGTTAGGAGCTGCAAATCACTCTTTGATTAGTTTGGTTATAAGCTGTAGGCAAGCAAAGCAGCAACTGTGGCTCTGTCAAATATCTCTACAGAGCATGACATCCTAGTACAACACATGCCAAATATATGCCAACCTAAGCCACAAGCTTTCATACTATTGCAAGTCATGCACGCTCCTTGGCCCTTTCATACTTGGGGGCTTAATTTGATGGGGGTATTTATCAATGCAAAATGGCTCAAAGCCTTACTACTGAGTTGCTTTTGCACCTATTCTTTTGTTTTTGGCTTTTCAAATTTATTTCAAAGATGAACTCCTTTTGTGTTTTCACCATATGTTTTCACAACTTTGGTAGAATGCACCACCATTATTGCATGCCAAGGCATAAAACGATATTTGCAAGGAGAATGGAGTATTTTGGAAAAAGAAAAAAAAACTCTAGAATTCTTTCCTTACTTTTGTCTTCTTCTGTTTTGCAAAACGTGTTCTTTGAAAAGAAAAAGAAAATAGACAAGCAAACTTCCCTTTTAAAAGCTAAGCCTTTTAGCAGTAACCATGCCAAGCAAAGTCACTTGGATGGGGTCCCGAACCATCAACAAGCATCAAGCCTAAGCAAAATGATGTGGGGTATGCAAAGTCAAGCTATTACAAAGAAACGAGCAGTAAAAGTGTATTTTGAGGCGCTGGAATAACGAAACCGCTGACTCCCAATCGGAATGCTCAAAAAAATTCACAACATCCGGCAATTCTTACAGGAGCCTTCGTGGAAATCATGCATACAGTGGCATGACCATTTTTAAGGCACGGAAAGAGGGTGCATTTTAGGCCAAATGAGTAGACGAGCCTTGCAAAAGTTTTAAAGAGCAATGCATCGAAGATTTAGCTTAAAGGTCCTGTCAAAATTTTGGGCAGCATATACCTTGTTTTTAAGGCTTGCCAACTCATCAGAAAATTTCAAGAAGTTCACAAGAGCAAGTTCTCCCAACCAAGCAATATATATATAAGATGTACGAATTACAACATGCCTCAAGCATTCAGAAATTAATGCAAGTTCCAGTGGTTCAGTAGTACATTAAAAAGTCATAATGACATAGTCATTAGATTATCTGAAAAGTACACAGTCATCGCAAAAACAAGGTTACACATGCTAGAGATTAGTACATCCTATGGTATCAAGAAAGATGGAAGCTGTGCACCAAGCCAACTGACCCCAAGCCAAAGAAAACAACCTGCGAAATAAAAGGAGGCAGCACGCTGGAAGATGCAAGGCAGCGCCGGCAGCTATGTCGCATGTTCTGAGAAGAGGATGAGTATGAGGCAGCACTGCCGGAAGGTGCAGGGCAGTGCCGGCAGCTATGTTGGATGGTCCTAGAAGAGGAGAAGTAGAATGCAGCACGCTGGAAGGTGCAGGGCAGTGCCGACAGCTATGTCGCATGTTCTGAGAAGAGGATGAGTAGGAGGCAGCACTGCTGGAAGGTGCAGGGCAGTGCCGGCAGCTATGTTGGATGTTCCGAGAAAAGAATGAGTATGAGGCAGCACTGCTAGAAGGAGCAGGGCATTGTCTACCCCT